CCAGTCTGGTCTCTGGCCCTCACTCGGCGGGGGGGGGCGGTGGGCACCCACTTTTTCAGGGGCCGATACTCTGTGATGCACAGCATAGACCCCCCCCGGGTCCCATCACTCGCCTCCCGCAGCACCAGCAGGTTGGAAATGCTCTTTGACAGCAGCCAACCTGGGGTGGGCAAGTCCCAGACGGCACTCAGGGAGGGGATTTAGTGCGGCCCTGTGAGGACGCAGAGCAACGCACGTGGCAACGCCTGGGGCTGTGTGCACCCCCCTCTTGCCCGTCCCCAGGATTGTTCTTTAAATCCTTTAAGCACTGTATAAGCCCAGGGCCTAGGGCTTCTCCAGGAACTGCAAAACGTTTCAGATAAAATCAATTAAATTGATTTCAAGATAAAAAAAATAAAGTTGCCGAGTAAAAATAAGAAATAATTTCAAAAGCAAATTCATAAACTGCCTTTCAAAATAATTTTCAACAGCATTTATATTTAAAATAGGATGCTGGAGCATTTAATATGGTTGACATCATGTGGGTGGTACCTGTAAAAGTTAGTATGCCTTAGGACTTACCGGGACCTAAATTGGTGCTCTCTCCCCACCCCCCAGAAACTCATACCAGGCCCCTCTGGGATGACTGTGGGTGGTGTGGGGACGGGTCTGTGATGTGGGATGAGGTGGAGGAGAGGCTGAGACTCCCAGTGAAAGGCAGACATGCCATTCAGGAAGGTGATCAAGAGTCCAGCTTAAAACTGGGTTCAAATCTGGATTCTGCTCCTGTGTGACTCCAGGCAACTTGCTAAGCCTCTCTGAAACCTGGAGTTTATCACTGGCACAAAGGGGATCAGAATGCCTACCTCACAGGATTTTCACGAGAATTAAACAGGAGGAAGAATGTAAGGTGCTCAGCTCTGCACCTGGGGACAGTAAGCGCTTGATAAATGCAGCTCTTGTAAGGGTGCCATTCAGCAGATTCTCGTGGGGGAGGGTTGGGGAGGCTGGCTCCCTCAGGCTTTTGCTCAACTTGAGCCACAGAGAAAATATTCAGTAAGTGGATGTTGACTGGATGTGTTTTCGTTCTCACAGCTGAGAGAAAACAGCAGTGCAGAGAGGTTATGTGACTTGCTGGATCGCAGGTCCCCAGCGAGCGAGGACTGGGAGGTGAGGAGGTGGCGGGGGCCTGGATGGGGGGCCTGGGCAGCGTGGGCAGGGGTGGCTGGGGCTCCGGGAGATCACCCTGCATGAGAGGGAGCCAGGGTGCAAGGCCCCAGAGGGCAGGCGGCCCGTTCCCAGGCCCCCGTGGCCCGGGTGCCTCTCCTGCCGTTCCAGGGCGGGGGAGCAGAAATTGCCAGCTGGCATCCTAGGAATGTGGGCTGCATTGGAAAGTTAGCTAACGTTTCCCGGTGAGAGGGGCCCGATTATATTGACTCTGCCAGGAACAGAGAGACACAGAAGAAATCCCTGAGAGCTGCAGGCCTGTGTCAAAGGCAAAGCTAAGTCCGGGACAAGAAGGACACCAGCTTTCGAGTCGTAGACCTGCAGTGAGGGGGCCCTCCACAGGCCCCGCTGTCTCAGCCAGGGCTGGAAGGTGTTCGGGAGGACAGTGGCCTCGTGGAGCAGGAAGAGGAGACGCTGAGACAGATTGGCAGGCATGCTATCGAAATGGGAGTTTTGGAACCACGGAGACCGTCCGCTTGGCCTTCGGGGACACGTGGCAGTCTTTGATTGGCTGCAAGGGGGCAAGCGACCCCCTTGAATTTTACAAGATCGTGTCGTGTTAGAGATGGAGAGTTTTTTGAGGCTGGCCATTTCCTGGAACAGGCAGGATTCCAGGGGGGGAGCTTTTTAGTGGTCAAACTGTTAACACGGTCCCAGTGAGGGAGCAGAGGGCTGCCATCAAGGCGGTTTCTCAGCAGAGATCCAGACCAGGAGGCTTGTGGCCAGGGATCCAGAAGACCCGAGTTCTAGGCCCAGCTTCCCACTAACTGAATGGTCCTCTTTCTGGACCTGTTTATTATATGTACAATGAAGGGGCAGGACCACCCGGGAATGTCAAATTGCTGACCCTTGGGCCAAATCTAACCTGCAGTTGTGTTTTCTTTGGCCCGCAAATCATTATTTTTAATTTTGATTTTTAGTTTTGCATGCCAGTAGGAGGGGTGTGCATTTGTTCTGCAGTCCACAGCCCTGGTGCTCCATGCTGTGACAGACCTGCCGAGTTCCAGCCTTTGGGTAACCGCTGTCCCCGTAGGGTCTGGTCTGCAGTCCCCGGAGCAAACGACTCCTCGTGCCTTTGTGGGGCTGGCCTTCCCTGGTTCCACGATTCTCAGTGGCACCTTCTCACTTTCGCTGCCTCCCACAGTCACCTCGCACGGCCCTCCACAAATATTTGATGCTCCAGCTTCTTGAGTCAATTATCCCTTTCGGAAAACTGGAGAGAGAAATGATATAATTAACTACCTGAGAGAAAATGAGCAGAGCAGCAAGCTATAAATACCAAGACACACGACGGAGACTGAAACCCCGGGGCCCCACTTGACCTTACCCAGTTAAGAGTGGTCTGAGGCCTCCCTGGTTGGAAGAAACCAGTGAGGCCAAGCCCAGCTCATGCTCAGAGCCGCAGCCTTCACATAGCATGGCAAGAAGCGGCTCAGCCAGCCCCCAGGCCCCAGGGCCAGCAGGCCAGGAAGCAACACCCTCTGCCCGTCTCTGCCAAGTGGCCGGGATCAGAATCAACAGGCCAGAAGGGCTAATTCTTCCCTCACACACTGTGCCCAGGACCAGATGCTCTGCCCCGAGTGTGGGGCCTGGACACAGTTGCGTCGCTGGATCCTTCCACCCCATCTTCAACCACGGACCAGATAAACGGAGTTGAACACACTTCAAAGCCAACACTGAGCACGGCCATCTGGGATTCATTCCTGAGCGGGCCTTTTCCAGTTATGTAACCAGGGAGATCCAGACAGAGAGACACAGATTGGAAGAAGTTTCCTTTTTTTTAAACTCCGAACCTTTACAGTATTGGGATAATTATGGCTTTCATAGCGTTGATTACTTTAAGCTGTCAGTAATTTGAGTCTTTTTCAGAATCAGTGACCAGCTTTCTGTAATTGTGTTCTCTCTCCCCACTTCCATCCGTAAGTAAAGGAAACACAATCCCCAGCTCACGGGGTTTCCCTCCCAGCACCTCGCCCGGGCACTTCGCTGCCACGCCCGAAGGCCGCAGTGGACACACCTTCCCGGCGTCCTCCGGGCTCGTGACACACTTGCTTCCCGAGGCACAGTCTTATTAGGGAACGTCCATTCCTCCCCGAACTGAAGGAAGGAGCCGGGTGAAGCCTGGGGTGGCCGGGCCTTTTGCTGTGAATCATTCAGGATCACCCAAAACGTTCTGGTTCACGGATAGAGGGCACTGGCAAATACGAGATACTTTAAGAAATGGTATTTGCCACACATTTGCAATTTTTAAATGTTTTCTTTTCTGATTATGTAACTAATACCTGTCAGTGTGAAAATTCTCAGCAGTGTGAAGAAGAAAATAATTATCCCAAATCCTTGCCTGGGAGAATTGTTCAAACAAAAAGTGACGCTAACATTTTAGCACATTGCCCTCCAGCCTTCACCTTGGGTATGTTTGCATTTCTAGAGTTGAAACTATATTTTATAGTTTTATAATTTTGTATCTTGCATTTCTCCTTAACAATTTGCCCACATAATAAAAAAATGTTTAACCTTAGTTTTCAATAGCAACACAGGTTCAAATGAAGTCAATGTATAATTTTTTTAAAAAATCAAATCCTGTATTATAGTTCAAAGGCTGTGTCCAACATTTAAATCCACACTGAATTTCTTTGGCTGTAAATTTCTATCTGTATTTCTTATTGCTTTCATAGAAGCTATTCCCAGAAGGGTAATCAACTCTGCATCAAAGAGCATGAAAATTGTTTAATGTTCTAATACACTTCAGAAACATTGAGTGACCTTTTCACCCAAGTATGAATATTTTTTTAAACCTTACTACTTTGATGAGTAAAAAAGTAGACTTTCATATTTACATTAATTTACTCTTCTTTAGCTATCAAAGTAATTCTTTTTTCAAATCCTTATTAGCATTTTACATTTTATTCCTTCTTGAAGTAGACATTGTGTGAGCCCGTGGACGGAGGCTGAGGATGATTATGAGATTCCTGGTACAAAGATGCTCCCAGCTCAATGCAGGTGACCCCATGGCGAGAGCAGTGAGGGTCTGTGGAGGTTAGCTGAGCTACCTCATCCAGAGGAGGAGCAGGTTGGGGGTGGTACCCGTTCCTGGTGATGTTAGTTACCTATTGCTGTGTAACAAATTGCACATTTAAATGGAGACCCATTAAAACGGAATACCTTTTAAACCTGATTGTGCGTGGTGGTGGTAGCAGTAAACTGAAGCAGGCACCGCCACACAGAAGCTGTCTGAGCTTGGCAATCCCACATTCTGGCTTCAAGCCATGCGGTGCGACTGGTGCCAGGAGGGGGTGCAGGGAGAAGGAAAAGGCTGGACAGCTGGTAAAGGCCCGCCACCCCAGGTGGGATGGGAATGACAGGACAGATTTTTAAGTAGGAGCGGGTGAGTGAGACATGGGGAACTCCATCCTGGAAGGGGTGCTTGGGGCTAGGAGGGAACAGGAAACAGGTGTCATGGGTAAGGCCTGTGACCTGACCAGGACTTTTGAATCTAAAAATATATGTGTCAGGGGGTGTGATTATTAAAATGTAGGAATATTACCCAAAAATGATGTTGACATCAACGCTAATTTTGGATGCTGGAAAATTAACCTAATTAGCTCTTGCCTTTCCCTCCACACACTTTCCCTCGGCGGTTTCCTTGGTCCTGTGCCATCACCTGCTTCTTTGGCATGGCTGACTCCTAGATCTGTATTTCCAGCCTTGCCATTTTCCTGCCACATCTCCAACCTCCTGCTTGACAGCTCAGCCTGGTGGACTTCTCAGCACCTCAAACTTAGTATGTACAATACAGAACTTATTTTCCTCCAAAACCTGCCATCTTCCTTGCTGTCTCTTCTGGTCAAAGCGCCACCAGGCATCCAGCCTGGGGCCCGAGGAGGGGAAGCCCATGTGTCACAGAGATATGGCGTGCTCTGTGGGGAGGAACTTCATGTGTGAGCAGAAGCAGGCAGCTGGCGACAAGCTGAAGAAAGGCGTTCATCCCACACACATGTGGGAAGCACCTCGGGTGCTCCAGGAGCTGCGTTTCTGGGCATGGGGGCTCACTGGTGAATAAGCCAGACGAGGTTCTCTGCCCCCCGGAGCTTTACTCAACAGGCCCCCAGGGTCGGCCCAGGAACAGCAAGCGGACCCTCTTACCAGAGCATCAGGTAAAGCCTGTCCCTGTTTTGTCCTGCTGTGAGCTAACGAGTGTGCTGCTGTCAGCGTGGGGTCTGGAGCGTCAGACAGGGGGGTGACATCACGGGGAACGGCAAGAAGCAACAAGCCCCAAAGGAGATGACTAAGCAAGTATGGCGGGCTGAGTAACGGCCCCCGAAAGGTGTCCACGTCTTCATCCCCAGAACTTGTGAATATGTTACCTTACATGGCAAAGGAACTTTCTAGATGTAATTAAGGATCTTAAAATGGTGAGATTACACTAGATTATCCGGACGGGCCCAATGTCATCACAAGGACCCTGTGAAAGGGAGGCAAGTGTAAAGACAGGAGGAGGGGAAGGATGATGGAAGCAGAGGTTGGAGTGATGCAGTTTGAGATGGAAGAAGGGGCCATGAGCCAAGGAACACAGGCAGCTTCTGGAAACTGGAAAACTCAAGGGAACAGATTCTGCCCTGGAGCCTTCCCAAGGAAGGCAGGCCTGCGGACACCTTGATTTTACCCCATAAGGTTCGTTTTGGACTTCTGATCTCCAGAGCTATGAGACGATAAATTGGTGTCGTTTGACCCACTGTGCTTGTGTGACAACAGCAATGGGAAACGAACCTAGCAGGCAGGCGGCTGGCTTGCCCCAGCTCCGGAGGTGTTGCAGGAGGACTCTTGACGACACAGCAAACACAGGAGCACCCACGGAGCAGATTCCCTCGCCCTGAGTCCCGGGGAGATGTGACGGGCCACAGTGACTCGTGCTGCAGTTAAGGAACCCAGGCTGGCGCTCAGCAGCTTTTGCATCAAGCAATAGCAGCCCCACCCTCATGCGGGAGGGAGTGGATGGACAGTAGTCCTGCTGCATCACTGGACCTGCTTGGCTGTCTACGGGACCAGCTACAGCTGCAGCAGCAGCTCAGGCTCCGCTGGGCACGGACGTGCACAGACGCAGGGCCGGCTGGATGGCCGCGGAGCTCACCTAGCCAACCCTCGGGCCCCCAGCCAGCTGCAGCGTCAGTGGGCGGCGGGGCCCAGGAGACGCACGTGTTCGGGCCAAGCCAGTGCCGTTTTGTCCTCCGGGCAGCTCCCTGCAGCTGCCGGGCTCCATGAGTTCTTCCCGGAGGTCAAGAGCTGGGACTGCACAAGGGCTGGGAGAGTTCCCACATGGTCTGCACAAATGCCGCAGCGTCCAGGCAGAGCAGGGCCAGCGGCAGCTAGAGATGCTCCCGACGGGCCAGGCTGGCCTCAAGGGCGCCTCTGTGCAGGCAGCTGGCTGGTTGACTCGAGGGCCATGAGAGACCAGAGGCTGGGGGAACGACCAGCAGCCTCCAAGGAGGGCCCGAGGCTCTGCCTCCTCCTGCCGGGGCAGGTGTGTGGAGTGAGACAGTGGGAAGAACTGCCTCTCAGATACTCCCCTGACTGCAGGGTTTGCGTTTCCGCCTCAGAGCAAGCTCCTGGGGCCTGGGCACGAGGAACTGATGCCGACCCCGGGTCTGGGAGTTCAGAGGCCGGACAGTCAAGGAGTTAAGAGTGTGCATGTAAGTGTGCGTGCGTGCACACATACACACACACGTTTTTTTCCCTCTTATCATGGAAACACATGAAACAGGAAACTCCAGAAGGCGTTTATCCTTTTTCTTTAAAGCTGTACGCTTTAATATTCCCATTCCAGAATATTCTAGTAGCCCGCACGGCAGTTTCTCCGCAGAGCATGAGAACAGGCTTACTTCCTGCAGAGGAATGTGCTTTCTCTGGTTGCTCGTATGGTTGAGGCCTGACTTGGCGGTCTCAGGGGGATTCCTGACTCTTCCCCGGGAGTTAGAGGACGCCAGCCACCCTGTGTTAATAGCACGTCAGCGATGTGAACAAAACAACAGGAAGACAAAAGATATGCCAGTCTAAACTCAAAGATAAACACATCTTTTGGTTTCATTGGGGCCAAACAAAAACAGATGTAATAAAGCCCTCTTAGCTAGTGTATGTGGTTTAATTAAATTTTAGAATTTAATGTAAAGTGCCCCTGTGGAAGGTTTGCAATCAGACGCTTCAGCCAGTAACTAAAATGTGTGTTCCCAAAGCTTCCGGGGGTAGGTGACAAACACTCTGAAGGAGACCTGAGTCCTGATGCAGGAAGTCAGCCGCCAGGGCAAGAACCTCTTCCCAGCTGTATCTCCCGTGCCCAGAACAGTGCCAGGCACACAAGAAGTCTCAGTAAATGTTTGTTGAATGAATTAATGAATGACGAGGATCCTTTTCTTTGCAGGTCTGCCTGGACCCTGTTCTATCTCACGAACTTAAGAAAATCTCACTAAGAAAAAAGCAGACTGAAAAACAATATGTATAGTAAGATACCTTTTTTTGCTTAGAACTTTTAAAAAATCTCTATGTATTTAGAAGAGCATAGAAAAAAAAACCTACTGAAGATTCCACCTTGCACTGATTATGACGGTCACCCCTGAGGACTGAGACTGACTTTAAGTGTGTGTTACTTTTTTTTTGGCTAAAACATAAAGATTTTTAAAAATGTTCAAAGCACTCTAACTTCTAATCCTACGGGAAAGAATGTTCATGTTTTATCGAAAGAGAGACCAAAATGTGCGGAGGGTCATCTCTTCTGAAGGTCGTGATAACTTCCTAACTTTTCATCAAATGGTCTCCAACCACCAGGCCAGTGGTAAGTCAGGAAAATGCTGTAGAAAGTCAGTAGAATGTTGAGAACTATGTCAGGTTCAACGTTTGTTTATCCGACAGGTATGTATTGAGAGCTACGCTTACTTCACGGGCTGTAAGTACAGCAGCAACTGGGACACGACTGCTAACGTGGTGGAAAGAAGTTATGGCACAAGAAGGATTTTTTTTAAGTCACCTAAAGTTCCTGTCAGAGTGGGAGCCTCAGCCTCTGGCGTTTCCTTCGTCAAGGTTGGCTGCTACGGCCTATTCTTCACCTCAATGCTTTCTTTCTATTCCTTATCGTGTGTAGAATGCCCATTTAACATGAGGTGGTCATGTGATGTTTTTCCTGGAAATTTATTATAATTGCAATGGTAGATATATAATCTATACACACAAAGAAAATAAACCTTCTAATGAGGACTCAGGCTAACCACCTTAGGGAATTGCTGTTTTTGATTGTATTTTAAGGCCATTAAAATATCTGTTTAGTGATTTATTCACCCTGTAGACAGATGTAGGGATCAGTCTATTTTTCACGTTACAGTGGAGTTTTCTTTTCAAATATTCTCCCTGGCCTTGTGGTGAAATGTGCATTATGATACTTCCTCATCGTGACACATGCAAAAGCGTTATTCATCAAATGGTATTTTCAAGCGTACTTCTCATTATTCTTTCAAGCACATAAACATAGCAAAGCCCTAGACTCTTGCCACAATATCAAAAGAATTGAAGATGTGGTGGAGCGCCTGACCTGCATGGACCTGGATTTTCGGGACAAGGTCACCGTATTTCACATGAACTTCTCTCCTGTTCTTTTCCCTTCTCCTCCCTCCCCCACGCCAAATACATAACTGTACTTGGTCTGATGCTAAATCAAGGTAAATGAGACGTGACCTATTAAAAAAGGAAATGAATTATCGAAAGGGGAAAATTGCATTCCCGGCCGGGAGTGTGGACGTCATGGCTTGAATGTGTGTGTCTGTTCTGCCACTTCACTAGATGGTCTTGCTTTTTGGGTGGCATGTCTTCCATCATCCAAATTGCCTCATGAAGTCAGCAAAGTCAGTCAGACCATGTTTTGGAGCTATCTACTTTGTATTTTTTTCCAAGGTTCTTTTTAATGAATGAATGTAGTTATAGCAGACCCGTCTTTAAGGGGTCTCTGGGAATAGTCCTTATTAAATTCCCTACAACTTGATCTAAGTCGGGAGTTAAATGATCTGTGTGAGCAGGCACACAGGTCAGGGTTTCACGGGCCAAACTCTTACTAGACTCCCGAATATCTTCCAAGTGCCAGTGGAGCCTGCCTGTCCTTCCAGCGGACTGTGGAGGAGGACGTAGGACTGTGAAGTTACTCCCAGGAAGTCACCCCAGGCAGTTCCTTCACATCCTTGGGGCCAGCCTGAATGGCACTGGACTCATCCAAGGAGCCAGGTCTTTGCAAGTGGAGCAAAGAGCTGGAGGGCAGAGATTCTCGGGCTGCAGGACCGGGAGAACGTTGTCCACGGTACTCTCCATTAAATGTCAGTGACCAGCTGGGCTTTGACCAGGCAACAAAGAGAATCTGATAGCCCAAGGAGGGGGCCAGTTCCTTAGGCTCTGTCCCTTGTCACTGTCTTGCCATTTGTTGCATTGTGGTCATTCCATAGCTTTTTCCTTTCTTTTTTTCTCTGTTTACTTGTAACAAAAGGGGAGGGGAGACAAACAGTTTTGGTACATTATAATCATTGATATTATTTCCTTATGGAATGAATAGTTCCTATTATTTCTAGCCAATCCAGATCATTGTTGAGAATAATAATAAATAAATCTTCCATATTATGATTGAAGCAATCATTAGAAAACAAACTTTCATCGTGAGATGTTTTGTATTAGTCTTTTTAAAGCGGTGTGGGTGTGGTAGGGAGAAAGCCCCCTCAGGACTGGGCTGCCTCAGGAGGCACCCAGGGTGGGCGGGGAGCGCTCTCTGCAGCGAGAGCCCTTCTCAGTCAGGGGTCCTAGGGTTCTTACTTTGAAATTACTTAAAGAGTGAAATCAAGGAAGGAGATGTGTTTGCAGGTGTCTTACAAAACCTGAAGTTGCAAAGCAGGTAGTGACTTGCCAGTGACAGCCAAAAGCAAGGTGCAAGGACCTTGTGAGTTTGCTGTTTCTCAGCTTCAGGCCGTAGTATAAAGTTTTGGGAAAGTCAATTCTCTTAGAAAAAGGACTCAGCTGTACTAAGTATCATGAAACAGCGATACTTTATCCTTAACGTATTTTGTTTTTAGTGCAGTGGAGTCAGTTCTGACTCCCAGCAACCCTGGGACGGCAAAGCAGACCTCTGCTGGGTCTTTCTGTGCCATCCTTTCGCCTTCTGGGGCTGTATCAGACAGCGCTCCTCAGATATTCACAGGGTTTTCATGGCCGATTTTTCAGCAGTGGGTGGCCAGGTCCTCCTTCCTGGTCTTACTCTGGAAGCTCCACTGAAACCTGTCCACTAGGGGTGACCCTGCTGGTACTTGCAATCCCCGTGGCAGAGCTTTCAGCATCACAGCAGCATGCAGCCACCACAGAGTGACAGCCGACAGACCGGTGGGGTGGCTCCCTGACTGGGACGTGAACTCGGGCCGTGGCTGTGAAAGAGCCCAGTGTTAACCACTAGACCACCACCTTGATATATAAATGCCCCTAAATTTTTCAGAAATCAAGAAAGAACTTATTAAGAGTCTGGCGTTTATAGAATTACTAAACAGTGTCAAGTCACTGCCAGAGATCGCCTCTAACACAGAACCTGCAAATTAACGTAAGCATTGAATGCTAGTGATTACCATCGTTACAATCATGATTGAAATGGCCTACCTGTGCTTTTTACTCACACATAGATATTTGCCTTAGAAATATGCCTGCTAATTGCTAAGTTCTGAAATATATAGGCTTGAGCTAAATTTGGATTTACTCTCTCTCTCTCTCATGATTAAAAACAACAACATAACAGCTTTTTGGACTATTTATAATAGCCCCAAACTGGAAACAACTCGAGTGTCCAGCAACAGATGAGTGGATGAGCGAATTATGGTGTCCATATAATAGAATACTACTCAGCAATAGAAAAGAATAAACTACCGCTAGACACAGCAACATGAATGAATCTCAAAAACATCATGCTGAGAAAAAAACAGGCACAAAAGACTACACGCTGCCTGATTCAATATGTATGAAATTCTAGAAAAAACAAAACGAATCTGTATTGACCGAAGGCGGATCAGTGTTTGCCTGGGGCTGGGGTGGGGGATTGCCAGCAAAGGAGCACAAAGCAGCTTTCTGGGTGATGGAATGTTCTGTATCATGATTGTGGTTGTAAGGGTGTTTGCATTTACCAAAATGCATCAAACTGTATACTTAAAACGGGGGTATTTTACTGAATGTAAATTTATCTCAATGAACTTGGTGTTGAAAGAAGAGCTGAAAACACCATCAACCGCAAAACTTGGCCCTGGAGTGTTTATTTGGATCCTTGAAAGTATCTGTGATCTGAAAGGCCATACACCCCTGTTGTCATGGTTACTCCCAGGGAGCAGGATCTGGGAAGAGGGATGAGAGGAAAGAATTTTGTTTCGGTTTGGTTGCTTTGTGCCCTTCTTACAAAAAGGCATTACCTACGTACTGACAAGAAGAAGAAAAGGACAATGAATCCCGGGTAAGATTATGGGGAACCGGGAGAAGGCCCCATTCCTGATGTGCTCACTGTCGTGTCAGGTGGAGCTACGCGTGCGGTAATTGTGGTAAATTAACACCAGACTGCCGGCCTGCAGGGGGAAAGCTGCCATAAGACTCCCCAGGGTGGAGGCCATGGGCTCAGTACCTGTGTTGGGTGTGTTTATGGGGGTAGAGCTTCCCCAAGCAGAAAATAGGAGAGGACTGGCCCCATGGTCCCAGGAACCACTCAGGAAAGGTTATGCAGCCCCACAGGGACAGGAGGTAAAAATCGTGGGATAAAGGCCTTGGGGCTCTTAAGGAGCTTCGCTGATTTCACGAAGCTTCTGCATTCCCAAACCTCACCCCCCTGCGATTTTAGCATTTCTTTAAAAAAATGGCAGCCCATCACAGCTGGGTTAAGGGGAACCAAAAAACCTTTTTGCTTTTTCATTGAGTTTCAGGCAAAAGGAGATCTGGGTGTCCTTGATGGCCAGACTGTCTGGTGACTGGAGACATAAAAATGAGGAGCAAGGAGCCCAGGCTGCTTAACCAGACCCCCCCCCCCCCCCCCCACACACACAGCAATTCTCCCTCTAGGATTTTCTGTGAAAACCTTGGGGGGTGATGGGGAGAGGGGTGCTTGGTTATAATAACATACATCCAACAGAAAACAATAATTTAAAGATTAGCCTGCACTGCCACACGCCTTTCCACATGGCAAGAAGCAAGCCGGGCTGGCCTCCGTTTGCCAGGGTGATTTAGAGAAGCCTTTGAACACCGACGCTTGTGGTCCGGCCAAGGCCTGTGACTAACTGACCTGTCTGTGTACGGTCCACTTCGGAAACAGAAACTTCCCCGGTGGCATGGGAAAGAAAACACCAACCTAATCCTGAAAGGGTAACTTTAAACCAAAGCCCAACCAAGAAAGAGTGTGAGAGAGAGACTGCCAGCTGAGCCAGGCCAGAAATAAAAGTCCCATTGTCCTCGCTGGGGCGGCTCGCAGGCTCACGCTCCGGTCTCGCTCGGCTTGCTCTGAGCGATGACACTTCTTGTACCGAGAGAGCTCCTTCTCGAGGCGAGCAGCCTTCATCGGAAACTCTGCAGCTTGGGGAGAGATCACCCTGGAGGCTTGGGGGTGTCGGGTATGGGGAGGTCATGACGTGGAAAATTGTTAAATACTAATGGAGCTGACCTCAAACCTGCCAGAAAACAGGAATGATGTATCCGGAGCATTGGGTCCACGGGAGGAGAGCAAGGAGTGGGTTCAGAATAGAGGAGGTGAGAAAGGGGAACTGTCTCTACTCAGCTAGAGCTGAGGATGGAGACCCTGCCTCCAGGAGTTGGCCCAGGTCCTAGAAGACTTTAGTGGTCTTCGGGGCCCCAGCAGCAGCTGAGAAAGATCACCAGCTCACCCCCAGGGGTGGTACTGCAGGGGCTTTGCTTAGTAAAGAAACATTGGAAGGCTAAGAAGCCGCAAGACATAGATTTTAAAGTGGAAGAGCAGACAGACCATTGACAGAATGGCAGAGGGGAAAGAGGCTGGGATGGAAGTCAGGAGCCGTGCATTTTAGTCTCTGACCCTGGCAAGCCCCCTGCCAGCTTTGGGTTTGATGTCCGTTAGAGCGAAGGGGTGGGGCCCTGCGTCTGCATCTCTGCTCCATCTGGTGTTCTGAGAGTCTCTGAGCATATGCCTCCTGGGTCCAAAAAAGGGGGTGTCCTTACCCGCCTCCTCCTTCCTCTCGTCATTCCATTTTTGGAGCTGCTTTCTAGAGGCCACTGAGGTTTCCCCCAGCTGGAAAATCCCCCCATTCTATGCCTGAAACCCTTCACAGCAGAATTCCCCGTCCTCAAACTGGACGAAGGTGGAGGAGGGGGACTTGGAGAGCTTGAGCGCTCAGCACGCTGGGGGGGAAGGTGCTGCCACGTGGTGACAGGGCCCCAGAAGAGGAGCCTTCGCAGGCTGAACACAGGTGAGGGAGACGCTGCAGCTTCCCTCCACTCCGGGGGCTTCCATCCTCGTCTTCAGCTGGAAGAATTAAAGCAGAAGTTTTCCCAGAACTTGAGAACATTTTAAAGCCATGTCCCTCCTTATAAACGGGCCGCATTCCCGGAGGACGTGTTAATCCAGGCGTGATTACGTAAGTGTCAGCAAGAAGTGCCTGGGCCGGCGTTCCAGGGTCTGGGCCTCAGCGATGGCTTTAACTGGTCTGTCACCTTGGCTGAATCACAGCACCTCTCTGGGCCTCAGTTTCCTTATCTGTAAAGCAAGGGGTTATCAACGTCTCCAAGCTCAGCCCCAAGGAGGGGAGCTACAAACATTTATTTGAGGTGAGTGATGAATCCGTGGGTGGCTTCTACGTGCAGACAAATGTGGTTCGAGTGAAGGAGCGGCCCGATGAGGAACTCAGAATCCAGGCCCGAGAGGACAGAAACAAAGGGCAGATGCCGGAAACATGACCACTCGTCTCCTCCCACCTCAGCCCGCTGCCTGTAACTATTAAAAAAAATAAAGGTGAGGAGCTGGGTGTTACGATCTCTGACAGGTCCCACAGACACGAGCGGCCGTGTGAGCCCGAGCCCTCTCTGGTGCACCCAGCTCCGCCATCCTCTCCCATTTTTCCATCCACGTCAGCCGGTGGAGGCGGGACTGGTGGGAGCCTGAGCTCCGGGCAGCAGCAGGGAGCCGGTGCCATTGCTGGAGCCGCCCAGAAGCCCAGCAGTCCTTTGCCCCAGTGCATGCCCTTTCCCCGCAGCAGACAGGCGCCCAGAGGGCAGGGCTGGCTTGTGGACCAGCCGTCTTGGAAGGGCGGGCCTCACCCTTGGTTCAGTGCTCTGCTGTCACCAGCTGTAAATTTTTAATAAGTTTTTAACAAGGAGCCCTGCATTTCCATTTTGTACTGGGCCCTACAAATTATGGAGCCAGTCCTGGCAGGGGGCCTTGCCAGGGGACAGCTTCCTGGACCAACAGCTAGTGGGGACAGACCTGGCAGGGGACCCTTGCCACAGGTGCCAGCTCCACAGACTGAGGGGCAAGAGATCCACGGGTGTGTAGATGTGGCTAAGTATCGGGTGTGCGAGCGCATAACAGAGAAAGTGCACTTGTAATTCTTAGGTGGGGAGCTTTTTTTTTTTTTTAACACAAAGCACAAATGAATTCATCGATCCAATGTGGGTAGATACAAACATATGTGTGTGTATATACGTGC